TTATAGAAATTTATCTTTTTAATTTCACCATTCGGGTGGCACCATTCTTTATTTTTCCTACTCTTCCAGCCTAATCCAATATCTATCTTCCTTGCAGTAACTATATTGATTTTTTTTCTGAAAAGAGATTATTTTTGCTTATTTTCTTTAAGATTTTCTCCCAATCTTTTCCGATTTTCCCTTTAGAGTTCTGAGTGAGAGCTACTGTGAGCAGGGGATCCTATTGCTTCATTTTCTTTTGTTCCTTCAAATTCTGTACTGGATCTGTGTTATTACAAACTTCAAAACCCGATTTTAGTAGTTGTAAAGTGGACCTTCTGAAAGCATTATTCACATCTTGAAGACTTTTTTAAATATTAGGAACATAGTTGGCCAATAAAAAAAGCATTATTTATTAATATGTTGGGGTTTTTTTAGAGCCTTAGGTTGATATCAACATAGGGTTAATAGCCCTAAAATCTTCACTTCAAAGATTTTTAGACATTCTCTGGAGGTTTCCATTTAACCTCCTGTGCTTTTTAAATGTTTTTTAATTTAGGGTCCCTGTTTTGGTACCCTACCTATAAGCATCTCTTATAATTTTTGATATAGGGAATTCATCATCATTTATATACAAAATGGGTTGTGTTGTGGACACTGCTACGATTACCTCTGATCCAACAGGATTCACTGGATATGGTAGGTGGAACCATCAGACTTCTCTTGCTTTCTCAAGAACTAGTTTAGATTCTCTAGCCATTAGTATACATGGGAGCCCAAATACGAGTCCAAAGGACTGACAGGAAGCAAAAATGGAGGCAAATAAATCTTCAATGTGGGAGGAATTTCCTTGATATGAAAGACTACTCTTTTTTCCAGTTAAATTAATCTGAAGTAAAGAAATGCAAAAGTACCCAAATTATTCCAGCTGTCATTTGCCTTCAGCCTTCCAGTGCAAACATGGCAAAACAGATGCTGCCCTACCTAGGCATCAGTGGCACTCTGGCCAAACCAGTACCTTGATAGGTAGAGAAGGGGAGACTATTCTAGGCATTTCTTCTTTTATGAATGATTGTCTATCCTCCTCCTGAATGATTTTCTTCTTCCCATTAGACAGTAGAGTGGCTGAGAAGATTGTGTTGACAGATCAATTTGTGGATTTAGGTTATTTAAAGTCATTTCTCCATCTTTCTCCCATTCTGTGTCAGGAACAACAGGCTTAGACATTTTGCCCACTGAACCATGATAATGTTGAGCATTTTCATTTTGTTAAAGTAGCATAAAGGCTTCCTATCTGACTTCTCACTTACTGAATAATTCTGATTACCAAATGACATGGTAACTTAGGGTTCTGTTCCTTGTCCATTTTTCTCCCATACTGAGGCCAAACATTACAAAAGATCATTTTCTACCTTCTCATATATTCATAACTGAAAGCAGCCTAATTTTCAGAACACAGTATAATGAGTTATAATCTGAAAGCAAGCTGAAGTTGCCCATGACATAGAGAAAGACAAAATACATCACAGTAAACAAACAACTGATCCCACAGGAAGAACAAGAGTGTAAGGTCCAACAAATGCATACACTTCCTGAATAAGAGTCATTCTGTCAAATTGTCCCAAGGGTCCCTGTACATGAAACCCAAGAGACTGAACACAAATAGAAAGAAAGAAAACTCTGCAATTAAATCTCATAAGAGAATTCACCTAATTAGTTCACATCAAAACATAAAGCTAGATGTATAACTCGGTAATAGAGCACTTGCCTAGCAAACACAAGACACGGGGTGAATCCCGTCATGACAAAATGAGATGGAAGGGAGGGAGGGAGGGAAAAAGGAATGGGGAGAAAAAAAAAAGGAAGGAAATAAGAAAGCAAGCAAGGAAGGAAGGAAGGAGGAAAGGAAGAAACAAAGCTTAAAAGTTTCCCTTCTCCAAGTTATTTTGTACCGTGCATGGCAAAAGCCATCTGTGAAGACAATCTAGGGACATCCCTAGAACAAACAGTGCCCTAGCAGCATAACTTGATTATCAAGGTGCTACCACAAGCTCTTTTCTGCTTACCAAACCTTGGTACAGATCCCCCACATCAAAATCATATGTCCAATGTGTAACAATTACAGAGCAAATACTAGTGCTTGGAGTAGAGAAAGTTTAACCAAGAAGGTATCAATTAAGAAGAACAAAGAACAAGACTTGAAAGCCCCCTTCCTCAGCAAGCGTATTGTAAATTGTATAAGGGAAAAAGAAGCAGATGGAGAGTTCAGGTGGTAAACTGATTGTTTCACAAGTTTTAATAGAATCAAGGTTTTCAGATTTCTTAATGTTAGCAGACCACCAAACAACGTGTAATTCTGTAAATCAATCTAGCAGATTACCTTGTGACACCTTTAGTTCATTGTCCTATACTGAATATGCTGATGTTATCAATGGTAATTGATGCTGATAGGAACAGCAACAGGGATCACATATTCAAGGTCTGCTTAGCTTGACCAGAGGAAAGAATATAGTTTGTTCTTAATATTAATTAGCGAGGGAGGTTAGACCAAGATGTTATCTCATACAAGACAAAACATATTATTAATTTCATTACAGGGGTTTGTTTATAAAAAAGCCTCTTCTAAGACAAACATTTTATTAATTTCAGTACAGGAGTTTGTCTACAAGAGTATCATGTAGTTCTCAACAATATCTTCTTTTCTTGACCAGACAGGTAGTAGTCTATACTGAGTAGCCTGAGTGATCTTTGAAAAGGGGATATAGTATCATTCCATTTCCATACAAGGAACCTTGCAATGGGTCTCTTCCAAAGCTTTCAAACTCCTCCTCTGTGTAGCATCATCTCCTATGCACTTGGCCTGGGTCACTCTGTTCCAGCCTTGATGGCCTTCTGATTATCTATGTCTCCAGTCTACCGAGATTAATTGTTTTATTGTCTTTTTTTTTTTTAAAGTTCAGGGTCTTTGAGCTTGCTCTTTGCTTTACCCATTATACTCCTAGCATGGCTTATTCTTTAAGTCTCATTGCTACTTAAATATAATATTCTCAGAGAGACTTTACTATAAGTTCCATAAAAACAGGTGGTTTGTGTTTGTTCATTAAAATGTACACTGGACTCCAAATGGTCTTTGGCATGTAGTAAATACTCTGTATTTGTTGAATGAGTTGTTAAGTAGAGTTATGAATTGGTTAACCCAAAAGTTCATTTTGTTACTACAATATTATATGACAATGCTCTTTAAGAGCATTAATTAGCTGGCAGTTTTTAAAACCTGTGAGATTTTGTATCAAAATTACAGCCTTTGGATTCTTTTGAAGAACTGAGGTATTTTTATATTTTGGGTCCTTTAACAAAAATCACATGATGTTTATTAGAACCTATTATTTTCACACATTGATTCCTGGCAGCCCCAGCATCTCCTGTTGACTTCCTGACACCAATGTCTTGCTTACACCTGCCTCTCTGCTCTGTGTTAATGTGCCTGGCCCAACAGGCTTTCAAGGCCTACATGAGACACATATGTGATAAGTCAGCAACATCTGTCTCAGATTTCTGTATAAGTTTTCGTGTCTGATTTAGAAATGAAATTGACCCTGTGTTCAGTTTTCAAGTCATATCCATAATGAGACACACATTTTAGCCTTTGGTGCCATTCTAGTTATAGAACAGTCAACCGAGCTTGACAAACTAAACTGAGTCTTTATAACTAAAGAACAGAAACACCCAATTGTGTTTCAAAATAGTTTTCACTTTTGGAAGGTTACTTTTTATACATTTTGTTTAAAAAAGCATGGATTTGAAATATTTTTCTTTATTTTCAAAACCTCATAAACATTTAGTCCAGATGTTTACCTAAAGTGATTCATTTGCCAGTGTGGGGCACACCCATTGGTCCTAAGAAAGAAAACAACCACATTTAATAATGGATAGTTGCATGGGTCTGAAGTCAGATAAAGAGTGATACTTGTATATAACAGCAAGAACTATGTCTTTTTGTTCATTGTATTGCTCATGTCTATATATTTTAGAGGCATAAATATGTATCAAGCATCTTTCAGGTATCAGTCACTATTCTAGGTAACTGAAGAGATCATATTCTGTGTTATCCTGCAGGAATCAAAATAGTAAAAATAAAGCAACCAAATAAGAAAAAGTTGCAACATATGCAGTAAAACTTGGTAAGTGCTGTGTTTAAAAAGAAAGTAGAGTAAGACAAATGGGAAAATCTGACTAGTTACAGTATTTAAGAACTTGATCCAAATAGGTCACATTGAAAGGGAAGATTGAGGAAGACCAGAAAAAGGTGAGAGAGTTACCCAAGTGGCTCTGTGGTGAAAGAACCTTCCAGAATAAGAGCTGGAGCAAATTCCTAATGTAGGGTTATGCCTCATGTGTTGAAGAAGCAGTGTGGTTATTTTGGCTGATTAATGTTCTGTTAAGTTAATTACCTACAGCTGACAAGGGAATGAATGCATATACTATACTTCATAGAGAACTGTTTCTTTGCGTGGGAGGTCTAGTCTTTTCAGCTGAGTATATTTATCATCTGGTTTACAGTAAGCTGTATTTTGATTTAGCCATAACCTGAGCTTTGAGAGTCTATGACAGTATGCATCAGTTTTCAGAGGGGACCTTAAGCAGTTGACCACAGTGAGTCCTGCACAGGAAATTCTGACTCAGCTAGTGTACATGCACAGTCAATTTTTATCACTCCCCATACATTCTCCTGTTGCATATTCTGAACACTAGTGCTTTTCAAAAAGGTAGTAAGTCCATGAAGAAAAGAGTAAGAAGCAGAATTTGTTACCCTTCTCTTTCTGTTAAAGATTCTGCTCAAATCTTCTCTTTTCAATGTGACCTTTTAGATCACATTATTAAATGCTATAGCCGGTCTGGCCTTCCCATCTCCCTTACACTACTACACTTTTGTTTTTACCCATAGCACTTACCATTACTGCATATGTCAGAAGGTCCCCTGTGAATGCCTCCCTCACCAAGCTTTCTGTCCCCTCCTGCAGCTGCTGGCCGAAGACTGGCCCTTTGGAGTTGAGATGTGTAAGCTGGTGCCTTTCATACAGAAGGCCTCTGTAGGAATCACCGTGCTAAGTCTGTGTGCTCTGAGTATTGACAGGTAAGAATTTGTTTTTAAGTTAAGGAGATCTTAAGCACTGTACTATTGTTTGCTATGTTCTGTAGTAAATAAACTATGTAATTCAGTAAAGCCATGCTCCAGCATCTTGAAAATCCAATCTCATCTTCAGATATCGAGCTGTTGCTTCTTGGAGTCGCATTAAAGGAATTGGAGTTCCAAAGTGGACAGCAGTGGAAATTATTTTAATTTGGGTGATCTCTGTGGTTCTAGCTGTCCCTGAAGTCATAGGTTTTGATATGATTACCGTGAACTACAAAGGACGTCAACTACGAACCTGCATGCTTCACCCTATTCAGAAAACAGCCTTTATGCAGGTGAATCTTACTTTTATTCTCTCCTCTCTTACCCTACCTTAAAAACATTTAGCTACTTTTCTCTGATCCCATCCTTAAAAAGCTATTGATTTGTATCATTGGCATAAAGTAAGAGTATGGATCCCAAGACTATAGGATTAACCTTGACTAAAGACCAAAGTACCAAGAATAACTTCTCCATGAACTCTTTGGATCTCAAGGACACAAACTAAGCCAAGTTCACATGAGAATCAGTGTGAATGTATGGCTTTTCTACCCTGTGCCCTATAAGGACTGGCCACTCCCTTTACTCGGCATCAGATCCCACAGCAGTCTTCAGATGAATAGACGTTCTGCAAATGTTCATATAAATGCCACCTGATACGGGTGGATTCTAAATGGCAAGCCTGCCCCCTCTCTGTCTAAAGGAAAGACAATCTTTGTAAGAAAGTTTTCATCTTACTCACGTATTAAAGAATGTTTAAATAGGAAAAGAACTATGCCATTAGTCTGCACAAGATGGAACCTAAGTGTAAAAAGCTCTTTTCAACAGACTAGAGAAGTTAATGCAAGGCAGCAGGGTCTATCACCAAGAATTATTTTCTCTTTTATGTATAAGAAAACTATATAAAACTATATGAACCATGTTTATTACAGTAGGTAAAATAATAGACAGTAATAAATTAAAAACTAAAAACAGGAAATACAGCATAATCAATATAAATTCATCTCAAATAGATACAGTAGCAGCTAAAGCATGGAAACACAATAAGAGAAAAGGAATTAACCCTTTGTTTTTTGATTGACAGCTTATATTTATACATTACTAACCTATATTAACTTTTTCATATATGTTTTTCCCATTAAACATAGTTAATAAAAAAGGAGAATCTCACCTAAACATTAGGATACCTTTGTATAGTCAGATAGGACATTTCACAGAAAGGAGATTTTTAAGTGTAATTTGCTTATATGGAGACAAGCAGTGTATCACCAACACTCCCAATTTTTCCCAGCTCCTTAAATTTTATGCATAATTATACTATGCCGATACAAAGAATTGAAATGCTTTTTAGGAAAATTTGTTCTATTTAATATACATATTTAATTATTCATCTAGTAGATGCAACCTGAAAGATTCTATTCAGTATTTGTAAAAGAACATCTCCTTTAGATGATAACTGTTCCTTGGTGAATATTTTTTTAATTTGAACATTTCATACAGAAGACTTTTTTTACAAAGCCACATAACCATAAAAATTATTTCTCCTTCAAAGTTTTACAAGACAGCTAAGGACTGGTGGCTCTTCAGCTTCTATTTCTGCTTGCCATTGGCCACCACTGCCTTGTTTTATACCCTGATGACCTGTGAGATGCTGAGAAAGAAGAGCGGCATGCAGATTGCTTTAAATGATCACTTAAAGCAGGTAAGAAGATGCAGAGAATGGATGGCTCATGGTTACAATTCCAAAGATGAAAATTATGATGATTGATAATAAACTAAAGTTATGCATTACAGAATATCTATTTCCTCCTCATATTTTTGAATTGTAAAGAATACATTCATATTATGTACTTATAAATATACATCACCTAAAAGGATCTAGAGAGCAAGGTAACTGATAAAAGATGACTCTGTAGTCATTTTAGTTCTAATTTACATTAGTTGAAAACTCTGTGACCTCAGTTTTTACAAATGTCACTGATTTTTGTAAATAATATTAAACTTTCTGTTTGGGAAGGTAGATACTATGATTATAAAGGAGTTACTTCCAAGGGCCTGCCTATGTTTCTATTTCAGAGGCGAGAAGTTGCCAAAACGGTGTTTTGCCTGGTCCTTGTTTTTGCACTCTGCTGGCTTCCCCTTCACCTCAGCAGGATTTTGAAGCTCACTCTTTATGATCAGAATGATCCCAATAGATGTGACCTTTTGAGGTAAGAAAAGTAGAATAAAAATCAACGCTTTGGTAAACATCATGCAAAGTGTTTCCAGTGGTCCCTTACACAGGCAGAGACAATGTCACTTTTCTAATCCTTAGCGACCACCTAAGACTCTCAATTTTACCTTCCCTCCCATTTTAGAGAGAGCAATAAGGGAGAGCTGTGAGAGCCCTGGGAACAAAGAGACAGAGATGTCAAAATGAGGAGTGAGCGCAAGGTGGAAACTACCATGTCTGATTCTCCTTTGCACTTGCAATTGCTCAGCACTCTGATTCCAATGAGATTTAATGTAAAAGGAAGAGTTGGGCAGAGGAGGGGAAAACAGGAAAGATGGCAGAAAATGGGAGACAGAGCTCACCACCAGAAAACTAGTGATAATAGCGTCAACACTGGACATGCTTTGTTTTGTTTTGTTTTCTTCACAAAAACACAAAAGTCTGCAGTGAACACATGTTCAGAGCAGCATATTTTTCACAAGTATGATTTGAGCTTTTAATTTGATTGCAGCTTTTTGCTGGTAATGGACTACATCAGTATCAACATGGCCTCCTTGAATTCTTGCATTAATCCAATTGCTCTGTATTTGGTGAGCAAAAGATTCAAAAACTGCTTTAAGGTAAGAGAATATACCAATATAAAGAGCTCTTTGTAGCTAGATGGGTGTGGTGATAATCCCAGCACTGTGAGCAGCTAAGGCAGGCAGGTTGGAACCCAGCCTAGGTAACTCAGCAGTGTGGAAAGACCCTGTCTCAAACTACAAAAGGAAGGCAAGGCTGGGTAGGTAGCTCAGTGAAAAGGTTCTGAATTCAATCTCCAGTATGGGGGTGGGTGTGTGTGTGTGCGATTTGATGTCAAATGAAACTCTTCAAAACCATTAATATTTCTTCCTGAAGAGATCTAGTAAACTGCTTTTTAGATTTCCCTTGCTTTATGTTATGGCTGATTTTTAAAATATGACATTGGCTTCTATATTATTGTAGCTGAATTTTGCCCATATGTTTTAGCCAGTCATTCCCTGCTGACTCAGCCAATCAGTGATACTCATGGAATTGTTAAGGAAATTAACAAAACTTACATACACTGATGTCTGACATGTGTCACATAATAAAATAAAAACTAAATATAATTAAATATACCACTTTTCTGTTCTGGGAGATTTTGAACTCTTTGACCACAATTGATATTATGATAAGTCAGTTCCTTTCTCACATGGCTTATGAAAATAGAAAATCAAGCAATGAAATTTAAATCAAGACCTACCTTTTCCATATTCAATAGATAACAGAAATGTGCTGCTCCATGCGGAATATGTCTAATCAGACATATGAGGAAAATGAGAATTTAGCTGCTTGCATCAAAACGTGCATCCATCCACTCATTAGCTCCTTCAACAATCCAACATGAAATAAAATACACTATCCCAAGATGGGAAAAGGATCCACTGTTCCTGGATCTCATTATTGGAAAGCAAATAGCTTAGCCTTTTTGTAAACTTTAAGACAGTCTACAACATTCATTGGCCATTCATTGCTCAGATTTTAGGGCTGGAAGAAGAATTCTATCAAGAGAGACTTCCTTATTTTATAGAACAGAAAATCATGAACTTCCCATTTTCTGGTACACATAATTTTTTAGAAAATATACAAAATGAACAGTTTTGGATTTTTAAAAAAATCCAAGAAATAGAAATCAACTGAATGCAACTGGGACACTTGCAAACTTTGTAACTTTATTATGTAACAATATTGAAAAGGCATATGAGAAAAATGTGTGGCTGAAGAAAACAGCAAAGCAACAGTGAATTCACTGACATGGAACAATGCATATAGTGTACATCATGAGTGTGTAATCTCATTAAAACAAATTCACCACCTCTGAATAATTACTGCAAGGACAACAATAAACAAAGCATTAAACATTGTCTGTCTCCTGCTAACCAGTTTTGAAACTCTGTTGTATTGTTATTTTTATTCTTTCTTTTCACAATAATAGAAGAAAAAATAGCCACATTCATAAATACATACACATATGCAATCATATATGTGACAGTATTTCCATTTGCCAGACAGAAAGTTTTAAAAATCCATATTTTTAAAACTATTAAGAATACACATCAGGTAATCAAGAGTACATGTCAAGAATTAAGAGGATATTTCTCTTAGTAAGAAATATTAATTATATTTTTTATTTTTAGTGAACAAATTATCATAGGCTACTAATATAATTAAATCTTAAGGAAAAATTAGAATGTGCTAAAGAAAAGGACCAAGAACTCGTAGTGTTGCAAAGAAAGAGCCCTGGAGAGCAGGAAGAGCAGTGACAGTGTAACTAACGCAGACGTGTAACGAGTTGCTTTGTTTTGTACAGTCATGCTTGTGCTGCTGGTGCCAGTCATTTGAAGAAAAACAGTCCTTGGAGGAAAAGTAGTCATGCTTAAAGTTCAAAGCTAATGATCACGGATATGACAACTTCCGTTCCAGTAATAAATACAGCTCCTCTTGAAAGAAGGAGTATTCACTTAATCTCATTTTCTCTATCGGACAGAGGTCATTAAAACAAAGTGATACATTTGCCAAAACAAAAAACTATGTTTGCACAAAACCACATAAAAATATAAGCGGGATCATTTTAGCACTCATAATTCCACCTGACCTTTTAAGGGCTGTTTTTAGCATGTGAAGAAGTGAGAATTAAGGAAGCCTCATTGTGAAAGCACTTAATGTTTTACAGTTAGCACTTCAATGTAGCTCTCAGTAGCTTCCAGTTTATTCACTCACCGCCTACAATTAGAAAATGAACTCACTCGGGATTCCTGTGGAAGAGGTTTATTCTTTTTTCCCTTTTTTTTTTCACACGAGGGATCGAACTCACAACTGTGCATTCGCAAGGCAGGCGCTTATGCCGCTGAGCTAAATCCCCAGCCCATATTCTTATATCAAGTGAATTGTATAAAGGAAATATGAAATTTTAAAAATCCTTCATGAAGCAATGTTTTGTGAGTAGTTAGAAATAATGAAATGATCAGGAAAAAATATTAGAGAAATTAAGACTTTATGAAAATCATTACAGTCTGCATTCAGATAAGATCAAAGAAACAGAGGTTTGAATTGCTATCACAAAAGACTTCTCTGAAATATCCCATTCACATATGTTGCAAAGAAAGTGTCTACACTAACTACAGTTTTGAGGATTGTTAAAATTTTCTTCTTCCATTCATAGTTTAATCTCTGTTTGTTTAGTTCTGTCACCTGTAAATAGCTACATATCTTACACATAGATGATTAAACAAAGGGCAGGCCCCCGTTTTCATAGCTTTGCAACCAAGAAGTGCCAGGGACTCCACAACACAAAGGACAAAATGTGAATTGCCTGGTGCAGTCTTCACATGGCAAAGAGCAAGGAGCCTCGCCTCTCGCCCCTGGTCTCCAGCATTAGAATGTAATAGTTACGATACTGTCTTTCAAGTCGCACAAAGTAGGCAATGTAGCAGCCACCTGTAAGGCTTACTACTAATTTTTATAATATTTTTGTAAATAACCAACAGACGGGTGTCTGGACATGGTGTTTTTCTATCAATTAGAGGCCAAAATGCTTCTTAGGATATGAAAGTCCCTTTAGTTTGTGCATTCTTGCCTCACTTTTTAATGTCCTCAGCAAAGTGTCTTAGGTTAACTTGGGATAAAATGTGTGTGAAAATATGTACAAGAGAAGCAGAAGGGAGAGGAAATGAGGTGGGGTGGGAGGAAACCCAAGGGGACAGATTCCCATTCTTAGCCTGGAGTTCATCGCTGTCTCGTCACATCAACGCAAAAGGTCCTGATTCTGTTCCAGCAAAACACAGCGCAGTGTTCTCAGACTGACTTTAGGGACAAATTAGACCCAAGAGCTTTAACTCTGTCTTAAAATACAACAGAATTTCCAGTCTTTTACTTTTTTTTCTTTCAGTAAACCAGGCCACATGTTAGAAATAAGCTAGGAATGTTACTTTCTGCCAGAATCTAATGTGATGCTACAGTAAACCAAAACCCAACAATGTGGCCAGAAAGAAAGGCCAGCAATTAATTCACATTTCACATGTCACATGGACTCTATTTACAAGTCACCACACATTTATTTATTAATTTATTCCCAATCTCTCTTTCAAATGCTTGTCATAATAAAAGACATTCAGACTTTCGATTTTAAATTAACTTTGGATCACTAATGTTTTCACAGTCTGTGAATGTATGTTTTGTTCCTATTTAAGTTTTAGATCACTTTATTGTCATGTACTGCATTTTTACGTCTCATACCCTCTTTATTTGCATCCTAATCTCTTTCCTTCTCCTTGGCAGAATCATGGTCTGTAATCTCTTGCCAAATTTTAAAATTGCATACAAAAGTATTCATGCACTATTTGTAATGAAAATGTATTCAGTAGCTTTTTGATTTAAAATGTTAACATGATGATAAAGTGTGGTGAGGAACAACCATGATTTCTTTACATATGTAAAACCAAATTTTTTAAAAATGTATTCAACTTAAAATATATTTCCTAGTATAAACAACTTTTAATATAGCAATAAAAGTAGAATTTTTAACATAGAAGTTATGGCTCACAAGATTTATAAGTGATGTTAACCTGGTTTCTCCTTTGTTATCACCTACTTACTGGGAATAGATTCAAACACCTTTTTGTATTTGACAGCTTAGATATCGCCAAACCAATGCAGTTTATAACAAATTGTGGGGTATGCTGTAGCTAACCTTATAAAGTTGTAATATAGCCATGTAAAATAATTATATATTTTGTTTTGCTGTGGTCACTTAAAGTGGCACTACTGTAGTTGCTGTTGCTTTATTAGGTAAACAAAAAATAAATATATAAATTGTTCTTTTTAATCCAGCTTATCTTTCTTTATGAAGGCATTAATGCATTAAATCTTAAATATTTAAAAGAGATGCAGATGTTATACAACGAACATTATGTTAAGTTTACGGTGATTCAGGATATATAAAAGTTGTTAAATTAAAATAGCACATTTCTGATCTTTGGACTGTGTTATTTTATACAGACATTCAATCTCCTAAGGCTGATCATTTGTTTGGTAGCTTCCAATGGCCTCTAAGTCTTTCTTTCTCTGGTTGTCTGCTTTTGGAACATTTCACTATTTAATCATTACTGTACCACAATCAAAGTTGAAAGCTTGAAATGAGTTTTGAGAATTTCTCGTTTCAGTTCGTGGGCCTTTTAGTATTTACTATGTACTAAGTGGCATAAATTATTACAGGCTGAGCATTGCTAATCAGAAAATCTGAAATGCTCTAAAATTCACAAGTCCTTGAACACCAATACAATTGCCACAAGAGGAAAAGTCTATCCTTGACCTCATGTGACAGACTGCAGTCAAAACTTAAATGCACTAAAAATACTGTACGAAATGAGCCTTCACATAACTATATATGGTATATATGCAACAAATGAATTTCCTACTATACTTGGACCCAAAAACATCTCATTATGTATAAATATTCCAAAATTTAAAAAATCTAAGAGAAATGCTCATAGATAGTAAAAAGAGAAAAAATAAAATATTGGGAATCACAAATGCAAGAAAAATAGAGAAGAGAAATTCAGAAGAATCTGCAGTTAACAAGCTATACCAATGCCATGAAAGTCAAGGGTAAGTGTACATGAAGGAGTAAGCAGAAAAAGGACAAGTTCAAAGGGCAATGAATATGTAAAAGTGAACTTTGGAACAGCAACTTACAAAACATCAGTGATGTCAGTTTGTGTGTCTGTATGTGCAATATGTGTGTGTGCATGACAAAAAATATATTTTCCAACTATTCACTCAATAATAAAAATATCTTATAAAATTATTGTCACACTGTCATTATAGAAGAATAGCGTTCTATAAATACAGTGAATTAAATACATTTTTATTCTCCTGATAAAACTCCACTAAAAGGGCAGAAAAAAATTAAAAGAAATAAAAACAAGCACAGAAATGAAAGCTATTGGCCAACTGGAAATATGAACAGAATTGTGCATATAAAGAAAGACACAGATAAGAGATAATTGCTCATATTTCTGCTTTCTCTATTAAGGTTCACAATGTGTTACAATTCAGAATATATCCAGGAATTGAAGATAGCTGGTATCTTTAAAGTCAAGAGACAGAAGTGAGGACAAAAACAAAACTTTTGATTAAAAATCTATCAGACCAGAGCTTAGCTCCCAGAGCAGCCTTGAGTAACTAGCGATTGCTGCTAGTCATCTAGAGAGGTGGCTCGTTTTCTCTTACTGAAGTTGTACCAGATTATCTCTGGATCCTGAGTGTGGCTACAAAAGGGCAACACAAGGTGAAAATGTGGTTCTGTCCTGGAATCAGACTGAGCAATGTCTCATAGTGAGATTTCCAGCCCTCATTCCAACATGTCCAGACAAGAGAATGAAGATTCTGTTCTGAAAACAGCAAACTCCCGCCCCATACATACACCAAAAACCTGTAGTTATCAACAGTGAAGATAAACAGTGTTTCTCACCAAAATGTATGGTGTGCCACATACATAGAATTTCCAGGTTGACTGTTAATATCACATTTTTAAATGTGAACAACTAGGAAAACGCCGGTAGACATTTTAGGAAAGATAGAACCTGAATCAAACTGAAAAAAGAAAACACTAAAAACCATAAATTGAGAAAACAGGAAAAGTACATGGAACAAAAGGAAAAAAGACAACTATAATCACTTTTCCCAGAGTAGTAAATAAACAAGAAGCAAAACCAGGATATTAATGAACAAAAGAAGCATTCAGGGATCAAAACTCTGCATTCTGAAAATAAAAATATGCTACAAGAAATAAAGCACTGTAAAAATTTCAAAGATGAAAATAAAGAAGAAGTAGAATGTGGACCTACTTAACTAAAGTGTGCTTCAGCAAACTAAGGAAGGAAATTAAAGCGTACAGGAAACAGGTGAATCCAACACAGGAAACAGTCAAAAGCTACTCCCAAGTGGATGGGGGTGGGGTACCTCTTTTAGCCTGCCTCAGTCCAATTAGGAAAACAGCAGAGGAAGGATATCTGCAAAAAAACTAGAATTTAGAGATTGCCTGGTATATTTGATACATTTATAGGAGTTTGTATCTTTATGAAACCTGAGTATAAATGAATGACTAGGTATGTAGAACATCAAACAAACAAAATATGAATAGATCACTGCTAATCCTCCCCAAATTCTTTCTTGGATAGAAATAAATATTTATTTCTTGAACATAAACATTTATATATATAAATGTTTTGGATATAGCCAAATTTGCCCTGCAAAAGATTATTTTTTCCAAAACTGTGATACAAATAAGTTAGAAGGAAAAGTGTGTTTCGTTGTTATGGGATAAGCAATCTAATTCTTATGTTTCTATAATAAAATCTAATACCCACTTCAGAAAACACTTGGAAATTAATCAAGGAAAGATAAAAACATGTTTATCCTAGGACCAAAAATTTCCATTTTGTAAAGACACTGCTATGTGTCCAGGATATAAATGCCAGGATGGTCACAGAAACATGTTTTATGTCAATTAAAAAATGGAATTGAGCCGGGTGTGGTGGCTCACGCCTGTAATCCCAGCACTCAGGAGGCTGAGGCAGGAGGATAGTTGTGAGTTCGAGACTAGCCTGGGCTACAAAGTGAGCTCAAGGCCAGCCTGAACTGCATAACTGCATAGTGAGACCCTGTCTCAAAAAGACAAAAAAAAAAAAAAAAAAAAAAAAAAAAGAAAAGAAAAGAAAAGAAAATGGAATTGACACAAATTTTAATAGCAGTAATTCAAATAATAAAAGCATGCTTTACAGCAGGTTACTCAACCTCAGCATTATTAAAATTTTGGTCTAGAAAATTGTTTATCATCTACAGTGTCCTGTACACTGTGGGATGTTTACCAGCATTCCTAGATCCTACCCACTAGACACCAGTAGCATGCTGCCAAGTTATGAAAACCAAAATATTTCCAGACAGTTCAAATATCTCCTGGGGGAAAATCACCCACATTGAGAACCACCACACTGTAGCATGATTCCATGAATACAAAGTTCAAAATCTGGCCAAAGCAAGCTATATTTGGCAGGGATGCATATGTAGTTGATAAAACTGAAGAAAATCAAGGCAGTTGCTGTTCTTGGGAAGTAGAGGACAGTTTTGACTTAGGAGACATATGCTGTGTGATCAAAATATACAGTGAATATTTAAATTTTAAGATTTGATCCAATAAAAGAAAGACATTGCCATTAATCTCAGAATGCTCACCTCTGCTGGCAACACATTTATCCCATCATTTTTCCTGCTTTCTGAAGCAGTGCCGGAAATCCACTTTTGTGAGTGTCTTTACAAAGCGTGATCAATCATCCAGCGAATGCTGCTGCCGAGTGCCAGCCAGAGAAAGAGGCACATGGGAACATTTCAGTGAGTTCACCCTACTCACCCAGATTTGACACCATGCAGCTTCTGGCTCTTACCCAAAGTCAAAAAGCTCGGCAGGTAAACATTTTGAATAAATTCAGGACTATAAGGCAGCCAGGACAATGCAACTAAAAATAGTCTCAAAAGAGACTTCTAGAACTGCTTCAGAAAATCGCAAGCATGAGAGGATAAATGTGTTCAAAGTGAGGGTGGTGTTTTGAGGAGAGTGAATGGCAATGTGTCTCTTACTGTAATAAATTTAATAAATGTAAACATTCACTTTATTTTTTAACCAGATCTTGTATTTAAGTTTCTCTTGGCCTAGGAGCACTATTTATAAGAATTTCCTATTATTTTATTAATTTATAGAGTTATTCTACATATTAATATTTATTAATATAGTTATATTAATATATCATGCAACATGTTTATTACTTAAACTTTTATAATTTTTATTTAAATATATATTTATGACATTTCTCATGTGCTATATTTACAATTTAAAGGCAATTAAACATAGGAAGTGCATGGGTAAATCTAAATGAAAAATTAAGAAGTAACACTAAAAGGAAGTTACTTAGAAAAAATGTCTGAGATAGACAAAGAAAACAAACTATCAAAAAAGGGAAACCACAACGATGATAATTTATGACCTTTTCAAAAAGTACTAGTAAATGTATAATGTGAAAACATGCTGAAAAGCATATCAGCCCTTTCTTTTCCATTTTCAGGCATGAATAATCTGATTTCATAAAGCTATTAATTATGATTTACAGTCATAGTGTGACCTAGACATAATTAGGTCTTTTAAACTGTGTTACTTGTAAGTCAAATATGAGAAATTTTTCAAGCCACCTATCCCATCCCACCTCTGCCTTAAGACACACACACACACACACACACACACACACACACACACACACACACACAGACTCCCTACCTCGAGCTATGTCAATGCTTTTAACAGCCAACACTGGATTAGAAACTGAAGCCCTTTCCTTCCCCTCAGCAGTAGCCTCTTATCTAACGGGTTGCAGCAACCTTGTTTTCTAGATTAAAAGTGTCTCCTGAAAATCCTGAAAATCCTGTAAAGCCTATATATATATATAATAAGCAATATTCCTTTCTCTCCATTCATTCAGATCAGGTCACACGAACAATCCCACACTAGCCTGGATGTGTACCCCAGAAATTCTTGTTCTTACTGACCACACTCAGGCAGTCTCAGTTGGCACTCAGAACAGCGTGGTGCCCCCGGATCTCCAGACCACCTAAGGCTCACGGTGCCTGTAGAAATGAGGCCTTTTGAGTTACACTTTCACACTTCAGTACTTAGTCCCCTAAGGAGAAAAAAATCTACCTTTTCAGGGCAAATCAACTAAATGTAAACTGGCAGAATAGAATCTTCCTATTTCTCTGTGTTTTAGACATTAGATT